TGTTTTGTCTGTGTGTTTTGTTGTGTGTCTGTTTGTGTCCGTGTTTTGTCTGTGTGTGTTTGTGTGTGTGTCTGTTTGTGTCCGTGTTTGTCTGTGTGTTTGTGGTGTGTCTGTTTGTGTCCGTGTTTGTCTGTGTGTTTGTGTGTGTGTCTGTTTGTGTCCGTGTTTGTCTGTGTGTTTGTGTGTGTGTCTGTTTGTGTCCGTGTTTGTCTGTGTGTTTGTGTGTGTGTCCGTTTGTGTCCGTGTTTGTCTGTGTGTGTTTGTGTGTGTGTGTGTGTGTCTGTTTATGTCGGGGTTTGTCTGTGTGTGTTTGTGTGTGTGTCTGTTTGTGTCCGTGTTTGTGTGTGTGTTTGTGTGTGTGTGTGTGTTTATGTGTGTGTGTCTGTTTGTGTCCGTGTTTGTCTGTGTGTGTGTGTGTGTCTGTTTGTGTCCGTGTTTGTCTGTGTGTGTTTGCATGTGTGTCTGTTTGTGTCCGTGTTTGTCTGTGTGTGTTTGTGTGTGTGTCTGTGCCCTTGTTTGTCTGTGTGTCTGTTTGTGTCCGTGTTTGTCTGTGTGTTTGTTTGGGTGTCTGTTTGTGTCCGTGTTTGTGTGTTTGTGTGTGTGTTTGTTTGTGTATGTGTTTGTCTTGTGTGTTTTGTGTGTGTGTGTTTGTGTGTGTGTGTCTGTGTCCGTGTTTTGTTGTGTGTGTTTGTGTGTGTGTGTGTGTGTGTGTCTGTGTCCGTGTTTGCCCTCTGTGTTGTGTGTGTTTCTGTTTGTGTCCGTGTTTGTCTGTGGTGTGGGGTCTGTTTGTGTCCGTGTTTGTCTGTGTGTGTTTGTTGTGTGTTGTGTGTGTGTGTGTCTGTGTCCGTGTTTGTCTCTGTGTTTGTGTGTGTTTCTGTTGTGTCCGTGTTTGTCTGTTTTGTGTGTGTCTGTTTGTGTCCGTGTTTGTCTGTGTGTGTTTGTGTGTGTGTGTGTGTGTGTGTGTCTGTGTCCGTGTTTGTCTCTGTGTTTGCATGTGTGTCTGTTTGTGTCCGTGTTTGTCTGTGTGTGTTTGTGTGTGACGAAGGGATAATACTGACGAAGGGGTAATACTCACTGACGAAGGGATAATACTCACTGACGAAGGGATAATACTCACTGACGAAGGGATAATACTCACTGACGAAGGGATAATACTGACGAAGGGGTAATACTCACTGACGAAGGGATAATACTGACAAAGGGGGGGTAATATCACTGACGAAGGGATAATACTGACGAAGGGTAATACTCACTGACGAAGGGATAATACTCACTGACAAAAGGGATAATACTCACTGACGAAGGGAAAAATTACTCCACTGACGAAGGGAATACTCACTGACGAAGGGATAATACTCACTGACGAAGGGATAATACTGACGAAGGGGTAATACTCACTGACGAAGGGATAATACTGACTGACGAAGGGATAATACTCACTGACGAAGGGATAATACTCACTGACGAAGGGATAATACTCACTGACGAAGGGATAATACTCACTGACGAAGGGGTAATACTCACTGACGAAGGGATAATACTCACTGACGAAGGGATAATACTGACGAAGGGGTAATACTCACTGACGAAGGGATAATACTGACGAAGGGGTAATACTCACTGACGAAGGGGTAATACTCACTGATGAAGGGATAATACTCACTGACGAAGGGGTAATACTGACGAAGGGATAATACTGACGAAGGGATAATACTGACGAAGGGGTAATACTCACTGACGAAGGGATAATACTGACGAAGGGGTAATACTCACTGACGAAGGGATAATACTGACGAAGGGGTAATACTCACTGGCGAAGGGATAATACTGACGAAGGGGTAATACTCACTGACGAAGGGGTAATACTCACTGATGAAGGGATAATACTCACTGACGAAGGGATAATACTCACTGACGAAGGGATAATACTGACGAAGGGGTAAATCCCTCACTGACGAAGGGTTTAAATTGACGAAGGGATAATAACTCACTGACGAAGGGATAATACTGACGAAGGGGGTTTAATTACTCACTGACGAAGGGATAATCTGCCCGAAGGGGTAATACTCACTGACGAAGGGATAATACTCACTGACGAAGGGGGGTAATACTCACTGGCGAGGGGTAATACTGACGAAGGGTTAATACTCACTGACAGAAGGGATAAATACTGACGAAGGGGTAATATCACTGACGAAGGGATAATACTGACGAAGGGGTAATACTCACTGACGAAGGGGTAAATACTCACTGACGAAGGGGTAAATACTGACGAAGGGAATACTCATGACGAAGGGTAATACTGACGAAGGGGTAATACTCACTGACGAAGGGATAATACAGACGAAGGGGAAATTACTCATTTGACGAAGGGATAATACTGACGAAGGGTTAAAAATCACTGACGAAGGGATAATACTGACGAAGGGGGTTTAATATATCACTGACGAAGGGATAATACTGACGAAGGGGTAATACTCACTGACGAAGGGATAAAATACTCACTGACGAAGGGGATAATACTCACTGACGAAGGGATAATACTGACGCAAGGGATAATACTGACGAAGGGGTTTAATACTCACTGCGAGGGATATACTGACGAAGGGGTAATACTCACTGACAAAAAAGGGTAATATCACTGATGAAGGGATAATACTCACTGACGAAGGGATAATACTCACTGACAAAGGGATAATACTGACGAAGGGGTAATTACCCCACTGACGAAGGGATAATACGGGACGAAGGGTAATATCATGACGAAGGGAAATACTGACGAAGGGGAAAATACTCACTGGCAAAGGGGATAATACTGACGAAGGGATAATACTCACTGACAAAGGGGATAATACTGACGAAGGGGTAATACTCACTGACGAAGGGATAATAAGACGAAGGGGGTAATACTCACTGACGAAGGGGTAATACTCATGATGAAGGGTTTAATACTCACTGACGAAGGGATAATACTGACGAAGGGATAATATTCACTGACGAAGGGATAATACTGACGAAGGGGTAATACTCACTGACGAAGGGATAATACTCACTGACGAAGGGATAATACTGACGAAGGGGTAATACTCACTGACGAAGGGAATAATACTGACGAAGGGGTAATACTCACTGACGAAGGGATAATAATTGACGAAGGATAATACTAAATGACGAAGGGATAAATACGACGAAGGGGAAATACTCACTGACGAAGGGATAATACTGACGAAGGGGTAATACTCACTGACGAAGGGATAATACTCACTGACGAAGGGATAATACTGACGAAGGGATAATATTCACTGACGAAGGGATAATACTGACGAAGGGGGTTTAATACTCACTGACGAAGGGATAATACTGACGAAGGGGTAATACTCACTGACGAAGGGATAATACTGACGAAGGGGTAATACTCACTGACGAAGGGATAATACTGACGAAGGGAAAAATATTCACTGACGAAGGGGAAAATACTGACGAATGGGGAAAAATACTCACTGACGATAGGGATAATACTGACGAAGGGGTTAATACTCACTGACGAAGGGATAATACTCACTGGACAAAAGGGGATAATACTGACGAAGGGGTAATACTCACTGACGAAGGGAAAATACTGACGAAGGGGGTAATACTCACTGACGAAGGGATAAACTGACGAAGGGATAATACTCACTGACGAAGGGATAATACTGACGAAGGGGATAATAATCACTGACGAAGGGATATACTGGACGAAGGGGTAATACTCACTGGCGAAGGGATAATATCACTGACGAAGGGTAATACTCCTGACGAAGGGATAATACTGACAAAAGGGGGAATACTCACTGACGAAGGAAAATACTGACGAAGGGGTAATACTCACTGACGAAGGGATAATACTGACGAAGGGATATACTCACTGACGAAGGGATAATACTGACGAAGGGGGGTAATACTCACTGCGAAGGGATAATACTGACGAAGGGGTAATACTCACTGACGAAGGGTTTAATACTGACGAAGGGGTAATACTCACTGACGAAGGGGAAATAACTGGCGAAGGGGTAATACTCACTGACGAAGGGATAATACTCACTGACGAAGGGATAATACTGACGAAGGGGTAATACTCACTGACGAAGGGATAATACTCACTGACGAAGGGATAATACTGACGAAGGGATAATACTGACGAAGGGATAATACTCACTGACGAAGGGATAATACTGACGAAGGGGTAATACTCACTGACGAAGGGATAATACTGACGAAGGGGTAATACTCACTGACGAAGGGATAATACTCACTGACGAAGGGATAATACTCACTGACGAAGGGATAATACTGACGAAGGGGTAATACTCACTGACGAAGGGATAATACTGACGAAGGGGTAATACTCAGGGCGAAGGGGGTAATACTGACGAAGGGAAATACTCATGACGAAGGGGTAATACTGACGAAGGGAATATCACTGACGAAGGGGTAATACTCACTGACGAAGGGATAATACTCACTGACGAAGGGAAAATTTACTGACGAAGGGGTAATACTCACTGACGAAGGGATAATACTGACGAAGGGGTAATACTCACTGACGAAGGGATAATACTGACGAAGGGGTAATACTCACTGACGAAGGGGTAATACTGACGAAGGGGTAATACTCACTGACGAAGGGATAATACTGACGAAGGGGTAATACTCACTGACGAAGGGTAATACTGACGAAGGTTAATACTCACTGACGAAGGGATAATACTGACGAAGGGGTAATACTCACTGACGAAGGGATAATACTGACGAAGGGGTAATACTCACTGACGAAGGGATAATACTGACGAAGGGATAATACTCACTGACGAAGGGGTAATACTGACGAAGGGATAATACTCACTGACGAAGGGGTAATACTCACTGACGAAGGGATAATACTCACTGACGAAGGGATAATACTGACGAAGGGGTAATACTCACTGACGAAGGGATAATACTCTACTGACGAAGGATAATTATGACGAAGGGTAATACTCACTGACGAAGGGATAATACTCACTGACGAAGGGATTAATACTGACGATGGGATAATACGGGACGAAGGATATACTCACTGACGAAGGGATAATACTGACGAAGGGGTAATACTCACTGACGAAGGGATAATACTGACGAAGGGGTAATACTCACTGACGAAGGGATAATACTCACTGACGAAGGGGATAATTACTCATGACGAAGGGTTTAATACGGGACGTAAGGGGTATTTACTCACTGACGAAGGGTTAATACTGACGAAGGGTTATACTCACTGACGAAGGTGTAATACTGACGAAGGGATAATACTCACTGACGAAGGGGTTATATTTGACGAAGGGATATACTTCACTGACGAAGGGGTAATACTCACTGACGAAGGGATTATACTCACTGACGAGGATAATATGAGAAGGGGTATTTATCTCACTGACGAAGGGATATACTTGACGAGGGTGGTAATTATCTCACTGACGAAGGGATAATTATGGACGAAGGGGTGTAAACTCACTGCGACGGGGTAATACTGCGAAGGGGTAATATCCTGGACGATGGATAATACTGACGAAGTGGTAATACTCACTACGAAGTGGTAATACTGACGAAGTGGGATAATTACTGTGCGTTTGGTGGTGTTACTGTTGTTTGTGCCGTATACTCACTGCAAGGTGATTAATATGCGAAGTGGTATACTCTGCGAATGGGATATCTGATCGAACGGTAATACTCACTGAGTAGGTTATATGTACGAGGGATAATACTCACTGCGTATGGGGGTAATTATCACTGATCGTAAGGGATATTACTGCGAAGGGATTATGCGTAGGGGTAATATCATGGGAATGGATAATTACTGCGAAGGGGTAATACTCATGAGTAAGGATATTTGGTGAGGGTAATATCACTGATCGAGGTAATACTGACGAAGGTGTGTATATACTCATGGCGAAGGGATAATACTGTACGAGGGGTAATACTCACTGTGCGAAGGGGTATATACTCACTGATGAAGGGATAATACTCACTGACGAAGGGGTAATACTCACTGACGAAGGGGTAATACTCACTGACGAAGGGATAATACTCACTGACGAAGGGGTAATACTCACTGATGAAGGGATAATACTCACTGACGAAGGGGTAATACTCACTGACGAAGGGATAATACTCACTGACGAAGGGATAATACTGACGAAGGGATAATACTCACTGGCGAAGGGTAAATACTGACGAAGGGGTAATACTCACTGACGAAGGGGTAATACTCACTGATGAAGGGATAATACTCACTGACGAAGGGGTAATACTCACTGACGAAGGGATAATACTCACTGACGAAGGGATAATACTGACGAAGGGATAATACTCACTGGCGAAGGGGTAATACTCACTGACGAAGGGGTAATACTCACTGATGAAGGGATAATACTCACTGACGAAGGGGTTATACTCACTGATGAAGGGATAATACTCACTGACGAAGGGGTAATACTCACTGACGAAGGGATAATACTCACTGACGAAGGGATAATACTCACTGGCGAAGGGGTAATACTCACTGACGAAGGGATAATACTCACTGACGAAGTGGTAATACTCACTGACGAAGGGATAATACTGACGAAGGGATAATACTCACTGACGAAGGGATAATACTCACTGACGAAGGGATAATACTCACTGGCGAAGTGGTAATACTCACTGACGAAGGGATAATACTGACGAAGGGGTAATACTCACTGACCAAGGGATAATACTCACTGACGAAGGGGTAATACTCACTGACGAAGGGATAATACTCACTGGCGAAGAAAGTGGTGGTCGCGGCGAGACAGAGAGTGACACAGACAAAGACTACTGTGGTACACCGCCAGGAACACCTTCGCCAGGACGACTTCGAGGCTCCCAGAGGCAACCGAAGTGGCGAAAATCTTCGGCCGGAGCCCTGGCCCATTCGTAGCTGGTGCTGTGGCGAAGAGAGAAGACTCGGTGATACATAGTGATACATGGTGATACATAGTGATATGTGCGATACATGGTGATAGTGATACGTGGTGGTGATATATAGTGATACATGGTGGTGATACATAGAGATACGTGGTGATACATAGTGATACGTGGTGGTGATGCATAGTGATATATGGTGATACATAGTGATACAAGGTGATACATAGTGATAGATGGTGATACATAGTGATACATGGTGACACATAGTGATAGATGGTGATACATAGTGATACATGGTGATACATAGTGATATGTGCGATACATGGTGATAGTGATACGTGGTGGTGATACATAGTGATACATGGTGATACATAGTGATATGATGCGATACATGGTGATAGTGATACGTGGTGGTGATATATAGTGATACATGGTGGTGATACACAGAGATACGTGGTGGTGATACATAGTGATACGTGGTGGTGACACATAGTGATACATGGTGTTACATAGTGATACATGGTGATACATAGTGATACGTGGTGGTGACACATAGTGATACATGGTGACACATAGTGATACATGGTGTTACATAGTGATACATGGTGTTACATAGTGACACTAGAGGGCTGAACCTCTCTGAGGACAGTGTAGCAGCGTTGTGTCTCAAACAACGTTCAGTGAGTGAGAAAATTAATGTGTTGGGTGAACAAATGAACTTAAATAACCTAACTGAAGTTATATCTTGTAGAAACACTTAATTACCGTAAAATTTAATATTTGTTCTCTGAACTGTACGTTAAGGCGGTAATTTTGTACCACATTTAGTAGGAACTGTTGCGAAAGACCTAGTGAAGGGAACTCTAGGCCGAGATAATAGAGAAAGTTGAGCGATAAAAGAATTTAGAGGCTGTATACGGTGTCGGTTGTCAGTGGCCCTATACACCAATAACAACAACAAGATGGAGAACTTGAAGACTGTATACGACGTCAATTGTCAGTGGCCCTATACACCAATAACAACAAGGATAGCAGAGGGAAATTAAACTTGAACCTGCCTTATATAGGCCAGTAGACCTGTTGCAGTGCTCCCTATGAAGAGGGTGCGAGTTGGACCTGCCTAGCATGAGCCAGTAGGTCTGCAGTGGTGCTCCTTCCTTCTTAAGTGTGTGTGACTTGGGGCTGCCTAATATGGGCCAGTAGGCCTGCTGCAGTGCTCCTTAAGTGGGTGTGGCGAACTTGCTTAGAATGAGCCAGTAGGCCTGCTGCAGTGCTCCTTCTTAAAAGTGTGTGACTTGGATCTGCCTAACATAGGTCAGTAGGCCTGCTGCAGTGCTCTTTCTTAAGTGGGTATGACTTGTACCTGGCTAACATAGGCCAGTAGGCCTGCTGCAGTGCTCTTTCTTAAGTGGGTATGACTTGTACCTGGCTAACATAGGCCAGTAGGCCTGCTGCAGTGCTCTTTCTTAAGTGGGTATGACTTGTACCTGGCTAACATAGGTCAGTAGGCCTGCTGCAGTGCTCTTTCTTAAGTGGGTATGACTTGTACCTGGCTAACATGGGCCAGTAGGCCTGCTGCAGTGCTCTTTTTTCCTAGTGTTGACTGAATGATGGTTAACTTGTTCCCAGTTTTTTTTTTTTTTTTTGAGTCACTCTGTATTCAAGAATTTCGTAGGAAATGCAAAATTTCTATACAAAATAAGACATATCTCCCTCGTAAATCCCTCCAGACCGTCAGTGAAAGACCACAGGGCTGCGAAATATATTTAGGTCCTGGACTTATTCCTGAGAAAGGACCACTGGTTGTACGGTCTTGTACAATGTACGAAGTGCTTGAATCTGGTGATATTTCGGCACTTAAAATTAAATTGCTAACATTAGTAGACTGTTGAGAATGTACAACTGCTCAGAGTAACATTTTGTCAGTAGCAGCAGTAGTAGTAGTTAGTAGCAGTAGTAGTAGTAGCAGTAGTAGTAGTAGTAGCAGTGTAGTAGTAGTAGTAGTAGTAGTAGTAGTAGCAGTAGTAGTAGTAGTAGCAGTAGTAGTAGCAGCAGTAGTAGTAGTAGTAGTAGCAGTAGTAGTAGTAGCAGCAGTAGTAGTAGTAGTAGCAGTAGTAGTAGTAGCGTAGTAGTAGTAGTAGTGAGTAGTAGTCAGTAGTAGTGAAGTAGTAGTAGTAGCAGTATGTAGTAGTAGTAGCAGTAGTAGTAGTAGTAGTAGCAGTAGTAGTAGCAGTAGTAGTAGTAGAGTAGTAGCAGTAGAGTTAGTAGAGGTAGTAGTAGTAGTAGTAGTAGTAGCAGTAGTAGTAGTAGCAGTAGTAGTAGTAGTGCAGCAGTAGTAGTAGTATGTAGTAGCAGCAGTAGTTAGTGTAGTAGTTAGTAGTGTAGTAGTATAGTAGCATAGTAGTAGTAGTGTGCAGTGTAGTAGTAGTGTAGTAGTAGCAGCAGCAGCAGTAGTAGTAGTAGTATTAGTAGCAGTAGTAGTAGTAGTAGTAGCAGTAGTAGTAGTAGCATAGTAGTAGTAGTAGCAGTAGTAGTAGTAGCAGAGTAGTAGTTGTAGTAGTAGTAGCAGTAGTAGTCAGGTAGTAGTAGTAAGTAGTAGCAGTAGTAGTAGTAGTAGTAGTAGTAGACAGTGAGTAGTAGTAGTAGTGTAGTAGCAGTAGCAGTAGTGCAGTAGTAGTAGTAGTAGTAGCAGAAGTCAGTAGTAGTAGTAGTAGTAGTAGCAGTAGTAGTAGACAGAGTAGTAGTAGTAGTAGATAGTAGCAGTAGTAGTAGTATGTAGTAGTGTGTAGCAGCAGTAGTAGTAGTAGTAATGCAGTAGTAGTAGCAGTAGAGTAGTAGCAGTAGATAGTAGTAGTAGCAGTAGCAGTAGCAGTAGTAGTGTAGTAGCTAGTAGTAGTAGTTTGCAGTAGTAGCAGTAGTAGTAGTAGTAGCAGAGTAGTAGTAGTAGTAGCAGTAGCAGTAGTAGCTATAGTAGTAGTAGCAGTAGCAGCAGTAGAGTAGTATAGTAGTAGCGTATGTAGTAGTAGCTAGAGTAGTAAGTAGTAGTAGTAAGTAGGCACGTAGTTGTGTAGCAGTGCAGTAGCAGTAGCAGTAGTAGTAGTAGTAGAGCAGTAGTAGTAGTAGTATAGTAGCAGTAGTAGCAGTAGTAGTATAGTAGTAGTAGCAGTAGTAGTAGTAGTAGTAGTGCGTAGTAGCAGTAGAGTAGTAGTAGTAGTAGACAGCAGTAGTAGTAGTAGTAGTAGTAGAGTAGTTGAGTAGTAGTAGTAGTAGTAGTAGCAGTAGTAGTAGTAGTAGTAGCAGTAGTATCAGTAGTAGTAGTGTAGTAGCAGTAGCAGTAGAACAGTAGCAGTAGTAGTAGTAGTAGCAGCAGTAGTAGTAGTAGTAGTAGCAGTAGTAGTAGTAGTAGTAGCAGTAGCAGTAGTAGTAGTAGTAGTAGTAGTAGTAGTAGTAGCAGTAGTAGTAGTAGTAGCAGTAGTAGTAGTAGTAGTAGTAGTAGCAGTAGTAGTAGTAGTAGTAGCAGTAGTAGTAATAGTAGTAGCAGTAGCAACAGCAGTAGCAGTAGCAACAGCAGTAGCAGTAGCAGGAACAGCAGCAGCAGTAGTAGTAGTAGTAGTAGTAGTAGCAGTAGCAGTAGCAACACCAGTAGCAGTAGTAGTAGTAGTAGCAGTAGCAACAGCAGTAGCGGTAGCAACAGCAGTAGCAGTAGCAGGAACAGCAGCAGCAGTAGCAGTAGCAGGAACAGCAGCAGCAGTAGTAGTAGTAGTAGTAGTAGTAGCAGTAGCAGTAGCAACACCAGTAGCAGTAGTAGTAGTAGCAGCAGTAGTAGCAGCAGTAGTAGTAGTAGCAGCAACAGCAGTAGTAGCAACAGCAGCAACAGCAAAAACAGTAATAGTAGCAGTAGTAGTAGTAGTAGTGGCAGTAGTAGTAGTAGCAGCAATAGTAGCAACAGCTCTCCAAGAGAGAACCCGCAGTAATGGATTTAAATTAGATAAGTTTAGATTTAGAAAGGACATAGGAAAGTATTGGTTTGGAAATAGGGTAGTTGATGAGTGGAACAGTCTACCTAGTTGGGTTATTGAGGCTAGGACTTTGGGTAGTTTCAAATTTAGGTTGGATAAGTACATGAGTGGGAGGGGTTGGATTTGAGTGGGACTTGCATATCAGAGCTTATTTCTTGGGTAGCATTGAAAATTGGGTTGGTCAAATGTTTGTTAGTGGGATGAATTGTAAAGGACCTGCCTAGTATGGGCCAACAGGCCTGCTGCAGTGTTCCTCCTTTCTTATGTTCTTATGTTACAAGTAGCAGTAGCATCAAGTTATCAGAACTTAGGTAGCGACACAGTATACTGAACACAACCACAGTCACGGTCATATACAGAGATACGACATCGATTGTCAGTAGCCCTTATAAACCATAACAAGATACGACATCGGTTGTCAGTATCCCTTATAAACCATAACAAGATACGACATCGGTTGTCAGTAGCCCTTATAAACCATAACAAGATACGACATCGGTTGTCAGTAGCCCTTTAAACCACAATCTACAACATAAGTTGTCAGTGGTCATATTGTAGAATTTCCCAAGTTTTGATTATAATGTAGCTTTCTCGCCTACGTTACAAGTTCTTGGTAACTGAGGTACTTGACTGAATTTATGCGATCAGTGAAGGCTTCCTATCCATTACCTTGGCATCTCTTGTTTTGAAGGTTCTAGTTATCCAGCCTACATAAACCTCTTGCCTACTACTACTGTTTTTATTATTCCTCTATATACCCACAGCTCTATTATAAAGCTCCCTTATATACTATGATTCTTTTATTAATATAATTGATTTTTTGACTTCGAAATCATCGTGACTCTGGCAACCCACCTCCGACGTCACGGCTGCGCTACCCAATCACCTCTCACGGTCGGTATGACGTCGCTCCCCGTTAACCAATCACCTCTCAACCCATGACGTCACACCGGCTCCACCAATCCCCCCTCACTAAACCCACGACGTCACTCCTCTTCCACCAATCACCTCGCGGGAATAAACACGGCTCTCTAATGTTTACAAACATCTCATTACCGACTAATTGCCGATTTATTGCAGACTAATTACCGATTTATTGCAAAGTAGCAGCAAGTAGAAAGTATTCTTATGCAACATTGAGCCTCAGAACCTCCAAAACAATTGCAAATCTGTTCGAAATTAGAGATATTATACAATTCAAAGAGATTTTTTTTTTCAGTTCCGGATGGAATTGCATTACGAAATCATCGAAGATTAAATTAATGTAATTTTTTAGGCCTAGGCTTTTTTAAAGGCAGTCTGTAGGCTTTGCTTTATAAGCCGGGATTTTTTTAATGCGGAGGTTCAAAAAATCGAGGTTTAAATTTTGGAGGGTTCAAAATTTGGGTCTATTCTGAACCACTAGCAAGTGGTCCACCCTGAACCACTAGCAAGTGGTCCACCCTGAACCACTAGCAAGTGGTCCACCCTGAACCACTAGCAAGTGGTCCACCCTGAACCACTAGCAAGTGGTCCACCCTGAACCACTAGCAAGTGGTCCACCCTGAACCACTAGCAAGTGGTCCACCCTGAACCACTAGCACGTGGTCCACCCTGAACCACTAGTTAGTGGTCCACCCTGAACCACTAGCAAGTGGTCCATCCTGAACCACTAACAAGTGGTCCACCCTTAACCACTAGCAAGTGGTCCACCCTGAACCACTAGTTAGTGGTCCACCCTGAACCACTAGTTAATGGTCCACCCTGAACCACTAGTTAATGGTCCACCCTGAACCACTAGTTAATGGTCCACCCTGAACCAATAGCAAGCGCTCTATTAAGGACCCCTAGCAACTGCTCCATCCTGGACCACTATAAAGAGGCCCCATTAAGGGCCACTGAGAGTTAAAATGCTTCACTCACTCTAGACACTTTTATTCCTGTAACAAAAATACAAACTCTGGAGCGTCAAGATTTCTCTCCGATACAGTAATTAATTCGGCTCATGTTCCCAGAATGACGAGCATTTTTCTGGTGGCGAAAATGATCCCGGAGAGAATCATTTTCCAGCCATTTCAGCAACATTATTAATGCATATGTTGCTCTTGTTGCACACACACGTGTGTGGGTGCACACACACACATGCATACATATATATTCATACACACACACAGAGTGGTCACTCTTACGTACACATGTGCACCTGCTCGTTAGAGCTAATATCTAATCAGTTAATCACGTGGTAACACCTTAGTAACTAAAAACACGCAGATATGTTCAACTGTTGTTCAAACTGAACATCAGAATGGGGAAGAAATGTTCAATGGGGAATTTTTGAACGGAAATTAATTGCTGGTGCTAGACAGAGTAGCTGGTTTGAGTGTCTCAGTAACTGGTGACAGTTCTGTTAGCGAAAACGCCTTGTTAATGAGAGAGGGATCAGGAGAGAATGGCCAGACTGGTTCAAGTTGGCAGGAAGGCGACAGTAACTCAAATAACCACATGTTACAACAGTGTTATGCAGAAATGCATCTCTGGATGCACAACACGTCGAACCTTAAGTGGATGGGTTACAGCAGCCCAAAAAAGAAACTGTGTTTCACTCCTTTCAGCTAATAACAGAAAACAGAGTCGACAGTGGGCACAGACTCACCAAAAGAGGACAGTTGAAGACTGGAAAAAAATCGCCTCGTTTGACAAATCGTGATTTCCACCATAACGTAAAGATGGATGGGCTAGAATTTCTCATAAGCCTTTGTGATGGAGCAGCAGATTCACAGCATAATGTGCAGCAGACAAACCTGCAGCAGTAACTGTCTGATGCTATAATGTTAAAACGTTGACCAGGATGTCTAAGAAATGTTGCAAGCACCCTGTTGATTCATGACACTAAGTACTATGGTACTGGTGTACCATAGTACAGCAGTACCATGGTACACCAGTACCATAGTACACTAGTACCATGGTAACCCCCATACCATCATTCCATGCACTCCCATACTTGTGATTTAGATATATTTAGAGAGCTAGCTAGGGGTGCTAACCCAGCCCTAGATAGATCTAATCCATCCTGCCTTTCCTGTCACAGAAGTGATCCCCGTTAGCAGTGATGTCTTAGAATATCCTCATAACAGTAATGTTACAATAACCATGTAATAGTGAGGTGTTACAATATCCTCATAACAGTGCTGGTGTTACAATATCCTTGTAACAGTTATCCACCCAGCAATCCCTCTCTTCGACCTAATTATATCTTTCAGTTATCCTTGGTAGGAGGTGGTAATTCCTCAAACATAAATTATAGGCCCCACCCACCTGTGGCATCACCAGCAGCTGCTGCACTTCACTCTAAATTATACCCAGGTAAGCAGGTTCTCTCTACTAAACTGTCCAACATCATATCCTCCCAAAGCAATTTTAATCACTCTAACCAATTTCAATGCTTCTTAATCCACTAATTCTACCATATCCTCTGCCTATCCATTAGAAAATCCCAGTAGGCCTACTCAACTCATCTGTTTCCCTAATGGGAGGAATTAAGATAAATATACTTACCTGTGAGAAATAGGGAGAAGTTAGGGAGTTACCAGCAGTGACCAGACCTGGTACTTCACCTGTCACACAGCTGCTCTGGTACCTGTCGGAGGACGACATCTGTTACTAAACACGTGTAGGAGAACAACAGATGTTAGTGAATATTGTTGGGAGATAACACACTTGTTGCTAAACACTTGTAGGAGACAACATCTGCGGGCAAGCTTCATTACACATGAAGACAGGTGGGAGAAAACACCTGTTAGCAAACACGTGTAGGAGACAACATCTGTTGGCAAACATAACACCCGTAGAAGACAACATCTGTCATGATAACACATGTAGAAGAACAACAGCTGTTAGCAAACACCTGTAGAACAACATCTGTTCACAAACACTTGTCATGATAACACTTGTAAAAGAACAACACCTGTCATGATAACACTTGTACAACATCTGTCATGAAATATAACAATAACTGTACAACACCTGTCATAAAACGCCGTAACAACACCTGTATAAAATAACACCTGTCACGTAACAATTACAGAAACATTTCGACTGCGTGGTCGGAACATTAGGTCATCTACCCTTCCGTCTACTTACTGTCAATCCCTGTCCAGCAAGCATGAGGCATGCATCTACCTGTCTATCTGGCCAACATACAGATAGAGACAGGCAAACAGACAGATAGACACACAGGTAGAGAGTCAGACAGATAGCCAGACATACAAATAGACAGACAGGCAGAGAAGCAGGCAGACACACACGCAGACAGAGAGACAGGCAGACAGGCAGACAGGCAGACACACAGGTAGACAGATATACAGGCAGACACACAGGTAGACAGACAGTCAGACAGAAAGCCAGACATACAAATAGACAGACAGGCAGAGAAGCAGGCAGACACACACGCAGACAGAGACAGGCAGACAGGCAGACACACAGGTAGACAGACAGTCAGACAGATAGCCAGACATACAAATAGACAGACAGGCAGAGAAGCAGGCAGACACACATTCAGACAGAGAGACAGGCAGACAGTCAGACAGATAGCCAGACATACAAATAGACAGACAGGCAGAGAAGCAGGCAGACACACATTCAGACAGAGAGACAGGCAGACAGGCAGACACACAGGTAGACAGACAGTCAGACAGAAAGCCAGACATACAAATAGACAGACAGGCAGAGAAGCAGGCAGACACACACGCAGACAGATATACAGGCAGACACACAGGTAGACAGACAGTTAGACAGATAGCCAGACATACAAATAGACAGACAGGCAGAGAAGCAGGCAGACACACACGCAGACAGACAGATACACAGGTAGACAGACAGTTAGACAGATAGCCAGACATACAAATAGACAGACAGGCAGAGAAGCAGGCAGACACACACGCAGACAGAGAGACAGGAAGACAGACAGATACACAGAGCTATGATTCGACCCCTGCAACCACAGTTAGGTGAGTACAGACAGACAGACACATAGACAGCCAGACAGACTCTCAGACAGCCTTTTCACTGCTGTCTATAAATAACTTGGTTATATTTACACGTTTAAATCCTCCTGTTTAATACCCTTTTTGTTCTGTATTCAGCCAACCTTGTGGTGGTCCCAGGACCCCTTGTGGTGGTCCCAGGACCCATTGTGGTGGTCCCAGAACCCCTTGTGGTGGTCCCTGGACCCATTGTGGTGGTCCCAGGACCCCTTGTGGTGGTCCCAGAACCCCTTGTGGTGGTCCCTGGACCCATTGTGGTGTTCCCAGGACCCCTTGTGGTGGTCCCAGGACCCATTGTGGTGGTCCCTGGACCCCTTGTGGTGGTCCCAGGACCCATTGTGGTGGTCCCTGGACCCATTGTGGTGTTCCCAGGACCCATTGTGGTGGTCCCAGAACCCCTTGTGGTGGTCCCTGGACCTATTTTGGTGTTCCCAGGACCCCTTGTGGTGGTCCCAGAACCCCTTGTGGTGGTACCAGAACCCCTTGTGGTGGTCCCAGGACCCATTGTGGTGGTCCCAGGACCCCTTGTGGTGGTCCCAGAACCTCTTGTGGTGGTCCCAGGGCCCATTGTGGTGGTCCCAGGACCCCTTTGTGGTGGTCCCAGGACCCCTTGTGGTGGTCCCAGGACCCTTTGTAGTGGTTCCAGGACCCCTTGTGGTGGTCCCAGGACCCCTTGTGGTGGTCCCAGGACCTCTTGTGGTGGTCCCAGGACCCACTGTGGTGGTCACAGGACCCCTTTTGATGGTCCCAGGACCCCTTGTGGTGGTCCCAGGACCCCTTGTGATGGTCTCAGGACCTCTTGTGGTGGTCCCAGGACCTATCGTGGTGGTCCCAGGACCCATTGTGGTGGTCCCTGGACCTCTTGTGGTGGTCCCAGGGCCCATTGTGGTGGTCCCAGGACCCCTTTGTGGTGGTCCCAGGACCCTTTGTGGTGGTCCCAGGACCCCTTGTAATGGTCCCAGGACCCCTTGTAGTGGTCCCAGGACCCCTTGTGGTGGTCCCAGGACCTCTTGTGGTGGTCCCAAGACCTCTTGTGGTGGTCCCAGGACTCCTTGTGGTGGTCCCAGGACCCCTTTGTGGTGGTCCCAGGACCCTTTTGTGGTGGCCCCAGGACCCTTTTGTGGTGGTCCCAGGACCCCTTGCAGTGGTCCCAGAACCCCTTGTGGTGGTCCTGGGACCACCTTAATGACCCTCTTGTAGAAGATAGACTTGAAACCCCATTAACACACTCCCACACACAATCCTACACACATACATATACACACATGTACAACACATGTAAAAAATGGGATCCCAGAGAGTAGGATGAAGAGTCAAGGGAAATGGTCTGGGAAGAATGGTCAGCACAGCTCAGGAAAAGGAAACAAGAGTTGGAAAGGAGGCTAGATGAGTTTAACATAATGGAGGAGATGATGGCTGCAGAGAGCAAGAAGTGGGAGCTAGAAGCCGCAGCTACAAAGGCTAGGATACAGAGCCTAGAAGAGGAAGTGAAAATGCTGAAATGGGATACAGAGCCAAAGAACAGAATGGGCATGGCATCGTGTCTATAGTTTAATGCAAAGTCATGGAGAAGATTATCAGGAGAAAAGTGGTGGAACACCTAGAATGGAATAAACTTTTTCACGACACCAGCACGATTTCAGGGAAGGGGGAATCCTGTGTCACAAACCTACTAGAGCTTTACAAAAAGGTGAAAGAAGTAAGACAGGAGAGAAAAGGGTGGAGGCTTACACTTTCTTGCATTGTAAGGTTTTCGACACAGTTCCACATAAGAGACTAATGCAAAAGCTTAAGGAATATGCAAGAATAATAGGAAAGGCACTAGAGTGCATCAGAGAATACCTGACAGGAAGGAAACGAATGATGGTACATGACGAGGTGTCAGAATGGGGGCCTGTGACGAGTGGGGTTCCACAAGGGTCCGTCCTAGAACTTTCACTTTTTCTGGTATATGTGAATGACTTGACAGAAGGGATAGATTCAGAAGTGACTGTGTTGGCAGATGATGTGAAGCTAATGCGAAGATTCAAACAGATAAGGATCAGACAGGACTACAGAGGGATCTGGACAGACTGCAAGTCTGGTCCAGCAAATGGCTCCTGGAGTTTAACCCAACCAAGTGAAAAGTCATGAAGACTGGGAAAGGTTAAAGAAGACAGCAGACAGAGTACAGGCTAGGGGGCCGAAGTCCACTCAGCGAAAAGGATCTTGGGGTGAGTATAATACCGAGCTTATCTCCCGAGGTGAACATTTACACAATAACTACTGAGGCATATGGGCGACTAGCAAACCTAGGATTTTGACACCTGAGTAAGGAATCATTCAAGACTCTGTACATTAATAACTATACACCGTCAAGCCCATATTGCAGTATACAGCAGCAATATGGAGCCCACACCTGGTCAAGCACGTCGAGAAATTAGAGAAGTGCAAAGGTTTGCAACAAAACTAGTCCCAGAGCTCAGGGGAATGTCCTACGAGGAGAGGTTAAGGGAAATCGACCTGACGACACTGGAGGACAGGAGAGATAGGGGGGACATGATAACGACATATAAAATACCGAGAGGAATTGACAAGGTGGACAAAGACAGGATGTTCCAGAGATTGGACACAGTAACAAGGGGACACAGTTGGAAGTTGAAGACACAGATGAATCACAGGGATGTTAGGAAGTATTTCTTCAGTCACAGAGTTGTCAGTAAGTGGAATAGTTTGGGAAGTGATGTAGTGGAGGCAGGATCCATACATAGCTTTAAGAAGAGGTATGATAATGCTCATGGAGCAGAAAAAGAGTGACCTAGTGGCGGCCAGTGAAAAGGCGAGACCAGGAGCTGCGAATCGACCCCTGCAACCAGAACTAGGTGAATACACACACACACACACACACACACACACACACACACACACACACACACACACACACACACACACACACACACACACACACACACACACACACACAGGGACTCAAGGGGGAACTAAGACAACCATCTGAGATACAAGTCCCTCAGGGCTTGTAAGAACTTCCTGCTGCTGGTAGTGGTGGTAGTGATGGTGGTAGTAGTGGCAGTGGTGGTAGTGGTGGTAATGGTGGTGGTGGTGTTGATAGTTGTGGTAGTGCTAGCGGTGGTGGTAGTACAATGATGGTAATGTTAGTAGTTACAATTGTGGTAGTGATAGTTACAATAGTGGTTGTTACAATGGTGGCAGTGGTGGAAGTTACAATGGTGGTAGTGGTGGTAGTAACAATGGTGGTAGTGGTAGTAGCAACAATGGTGGTAGTGGTGGTAGTAATAATAGTGGTAGTGGTGGTAGTAACAATGGTGGTAGTGGTGGTACTAACAATGGTGGTAGTGTAGTGCAACAATGGTGGTAGTGGTGGTAGTAATAATAGTGGTAGTGGTAGTAGTAACAATGGTGGTAGTGGTGGTAGTAACAATGGTGGCAGTGGTGGAAGTTACAATGGTGGTAGTGGTGGTAGTAATAATCTTGGTAGTGGTAGTAGTAACAATGGTGGCAGTAATAATGGTGGTAATAACAATAGTGGTAGTGGTGGTAGTAACAATGGTGGTAGTGGTAGTAGTAACAATGGTGG